TTAGGGTTTCTCTTCTGACTGTAACAGATGGAAGTGGCATGATAATCAATCCACACTGTATTCTCATTTGTGACTTTCTCTGCACTCCCCAAAGATAGTGGCCCAAAGCTTAATTCTCTCTGTGGCCTGAGAAACAAATGAGCAAGCCTTGTGGAAGGCAGCGTCTAAACTGGTTGCTAGTGATCCTAACCCTCCATGGGTTTCAGGGGTAGACTTGGTAGCTTCCAATGGATACACCAGAGACTATGACAAGAATGTAACCTATAAGAAAACTATAACTTCCATTCTCCCTCCCTTTCCCTTCCCCTGCCCCTTTCCTTCCACTTGGGGCGCTAGTTCTGGCACAATACTACATTGTGAGTGGCCTTGAGAGAGGCCCACATGACAATACATTGATGTCCCAAGCTAACAGCCAGCACAAACTTGAGGCTGGCTCATGGGCATGTGAGTGAGTCTAAAAGTGGATCCTCCTCCAATCAAGCCTTGAGATAAATGCAGGTGGTCCAACACCTTAATTGTAGTTTTGTAAGAGACTCTACGGTAGAGACAAGGCTAAGCACATCAAGATTCCTGACATACAGAAACTGAGATCTTACATGTTTGTTATTTTAAGTTGCTCTGCTTAGGTATAATTTGTTACGTGGCAACAGATAACTAATACAACCCTCAATCAACAAAGGAAGGGGCTGAATGGGCAATATGAATCATCTCTATAGGTTGAAACCTACCATACGTAATAGGTTTTCAGCATGGCCTATTCAATTGAGACATTTAACTTTTCTAACACTTGAAAGCTTGTTTTAGTGATAAGTGATAAGCTTGTTTCAGTTGGAGTGATCTGAAACCCAAATTAAAATGAACAAAAGCCAATAGCAAATGGACAACTGGCAAGTTCAAGTGCTCAATGCTATAATGTCACAAATTTCCTGGTAAAGGAGAGGTCAGGAAGGGAACCATGTGCTGAAAGCTGCCCTTTCTGGTCTTGCATGAGTAATTCTTGCAGCTGGAGTTTCTCTACAACCACAGGACTGTGGCACCATGAAGGTGGCCATTTTCAAATCTGGCCTGACATCAGAATGTAATTCAACTAGATAAACCTGGGTAGTGGCCAAAATAAGTAGCCTTAAAAAAGCCAGAGCCAATGAAGAGCATCACTTTTCTATGGGACCATATGACTATGGAGAAGAAAGGTCTTTGTTGTTTTAAAGGGCAGGGACAATTGGATGTTTTGCAGCAGACAAGTAACAAAAATGTCCATCCTTAGCTCTCCAAAGAAGATACTAGAAAGTGGCCTTGGCAGTTGTATGTGGAAGAGGTTACTTTGGAAAATAAAATTAAATCGATCCTGGACAGAATGTATGCCAATGTTACTTCAGTTAGCCTAAACCAGATTATTCAAATCTCCTAGGTTGTATACTTACTTTGTCTGATCTACTCCTTTTATTAATAACATTGCATGGAAAGCTCCTGTACCTCTCAGAAACAACAAATTCTCGTTTTCCATAATCATTGTGGTGTGAGATATTTTGTTTTATAATCACCTTTAAAAAAAAAGAAAGAAAACACTTGCCACTCAAAAGTTGCCTTTGTGTGTCTGCTTTTGGATTTCTGCTGCCTGGGACAGAGCAAGAGAATCTCTCAGTGACGCTTTCCGTCTGGGATGGGTTTTCTACAGCTTTATACGTAAATGAAGGTGCTCTAGTGGTACAATGGTTCAACTATAGCTCCCCTGCCACAGTTTAAACCCACCAGCTGCAGTCTGGTGTGGCAAATTTACAGCCTTGGATAACCTAGGGGGCAATTCTACTGATTACAGAAATAAGATTTCTTCCAAGTAATTTTATTCACGTATTTTTTAAGGGTCTCTTTTTCGTTCTAAATCTTATCTCTGCAGCCTAACATCAGGGAGTGGTCTGAAGCTATACTATGAGAGGGGGAATCTCATCACTGAATTGGTTTTAGTTGTGTCTTAGACAGTACAAATATATTTATCCTATTTTTTATATGACAACAGTCCTATTTGTCATTCAATAAGCAAAGATGACTCCAGTCAGCAGCCTGATGAATAAGCATGAAAATTTGATTTAGAAAAGGAGACTACTGTGAAGCTCACGGAGAAAAGGAAGGATTTCCAAACCCCCTTCCTCCGGGGGCCCACCACCTCCAACACACACTTTAAATGACAAAGCCAAGCAGCAGCACTGGCTTCAAGACACCTACATCTTTCCGCACAATCTCCAAGTTTCAGGGTTAGGTGATAACCCACCCACCCTGCCATGAATAATAATTTAGAAAGAAAAAAACCGAGGCCTCTTTAAAAAAAAGGGAGGGGGGTAAGAATGAAAGCAAGTATCATTCATCCTTCATATTACCTTGAGACAGATAACTCAACAGGGGGAGAAAATGAGCATCCCTGGTGGGAGGGGGGAAACAGGCCTAGGCGGAAAAAAGATGAGGACTCCCGTTGAGGGCCGGATGGAGCCTGCGAGCGGTCTGACACCTTAGCCCGCCCCACCGCCTAGAGGCGACCCTCCAGACGCAGGGATTGGAAAGCGAGTGGAAACCACACGGAACTGTGGAGTGGCAGAACCCCTGTAAAGTTCAGTAACCGAAAGTAAATAAAAGGAGACCAGCAGGCCGAAGTCTCCGGTGGAAGGGAGCTCAAAGAATGGTCTTAGGTTTCGGAATAGCTTCTTTTTTCGCTCTTTCCCTCTAACTGGAGAAGTGCGGCAGGCCAGCAACTTCTGCAAACACTCAACCTCAGAGTCCCAGCGCCTGGAACGGAGACTGGCTGAAGGCTCGCCAGGAGCCACGTTTTAAAAAGCTCAAGATCGCTCTGTGTGTGTGTGTGTGTGTGTGTGTGCGCGCGCGCGCAGATTGGGGGAGTAGAAGGGGCGAGAGAGAGAGACACGCAGAGATGAAGATGTGGTTTTCCTTCTTTCCCGCGTGGGAATTCACGGCCTCCCTCCCTAGGCGGAGACCCCAGCCTACCTCCACCCCCCACCTCACCTTCCCCGCAACTTCCGACCTCTCGGGGAATCACCCGAGGGCGCGCGCGAGCGCTCCGGGCGCGCCTGGAACCGGGCAAAGACGTGACCAAGAACAAAGGAACGCTTGCAAACCAGAAAACGCTACCCGAGAACCAAGACCACCCTTCTTTGTGTGCGGAAAACTCCCAACTTAGCCACAGGCCCTGTTTCTAAGACGCATTCTGACTTTCGACGCGAGATTCCAAAGGGGAGAGTCACGTAATTGCTCCTGCGACCAAGACGGGACCCCGAGTGGCCACACGCCGCAGAACTACGGAAAACGAGGCAGTCGAAGAGCGCATTCGATCGCAGTGTTCGGTCTCGGGTTACTTTTGTGACCATGGCCCCCAACACCGTCTTCGTTTGCTCAGAGCCCCGGGCTGGGCGCGCGGCCGGGGCCGGGGTCTCCTGGGGCCGGTCCCCGCGCCGGAGTCGGCCCCTCGGCCCGTTGCCGACTTCGGCGCGGAGGCGGCCCTTCCTTCTTTTTACCGCTCGGGGCCCGCGGGCTGAGAGGAGGCTGTGGCCTCCGTGATCGGCGTGGGTCTGGAAGAGAAAGGCGACCCTCCAGGCGCTCCCCTTCTCAGCTCGCACCAAATCCCACAGGGAAGAGCGCGGCTCCCCAAGCCCCCGCCACGGCCAGCATTTTGAGGCCCGGCCGGCGAACGAACGTGACTCCGAGGCACGTCTCCCTCTGCTGAGAACCCTGCGCCCTTCTCAGCTTCTGCCCCTCCAAAGCCTTTTGCAAAAGCGCCCTTTGGCTCAGGAATGCGTGTTTTAGTGTACCCGGAAGAGGAGCACATCTCTCAAGTAAATTCCCTTTCTGAAGCGTTGTTTCCCCCCCTCCCCCCCGCAGTAAATTCGGAGTAAAAGTTTTCCCTAACTTTTCCCTCCCAGCCCCCGCCCCTCCCCTCAGGAATCCGCCCAGAGCGCTGCAGACCCCGCCTCCCACATTCTCTCGCCCGCCCCTTCCGACTTCCGCCCAATCGGAAGGAGACTCAAGAGAAAACAAAGCTGCCATTGGGCCGCCAGGGGACGGGAGGGCGCGCCCCCAGAGTGGTTTGTGAA